GCTGCTGCTGCTGCTGCTTCACCGTCCAATGGTCTCATAGCACATTATTTAAGGGAGGTGGACCTTATGAGTGGTATCTCATATCTTGTTGACAATGTGGGGGGGGGCTCATTAATCAGCATTTATCAGGCGTTTGCATTAGCATTGTTCAAGTTAATCCCGGGCGCCTATTTTTCAACAAATGCGCATTTTAAACAATTCATGTCTGAGACAGCTTCCTGTGTTTTTAAATGTCCGCCTTCTTATTCTGCTGCTAAAGTACTCCCAAGGTCATTTTCACGGAGGTGTTTAAGTTAGATACCCACCCACTAGAATCACAACCAATCGTGCCCCTCACTAGCGACACGCCGCATTCATACACGCATGTGCACCCTTCCCCAATCGCACGAGCCATCGAAGAGTCGAAGAATCACTACTATGAATATAGGGCTGTGTAAAGGGAAGACCCTTCCATCTGGAGGTGTTTTTTCCATTCTTGATACGAGTTGAATAAAGGGTTCTATATACAATTTGCCGAGACAATCCATCTTTGCGGGTCCCCCTATTTAGGAAAAAAAGACGCCGGATTTCTTCTTTTGGAGGGGACAGTGCTTTTAATTTAATGGATGGAAGGGATGAAAAACATCTACAGTAAAGCAATCTCTTTATCTCTTCCACATCTGGTGCCGTGATTGAAAACATGGACAACTCCTACCAATTCGGCTTTGCATGCATGCATGCATGCACACCATATGGACCCCCCCAAAAAAAGTGATCGCCCCACTAGCCGGGAGCCAATTCCGGTCCGTGCTGGTGGTTTTGGGGGGATGTGGTGAGGGGGCCCTGTCTGACAGCCTTGGCCCTGTTCGTTTCGGCTGGTCTTGGGATGCCCAAGACCAGCTGCGGACGTTGGAGAGGTCGGGGGGGGGGCCCACCACCACCACACCCCAGAGTCGAGGTCGAGGGAAACGTGGAGCCGTGGGTTCCACGGATGAACGAAGACGCCCTTCAGTGAAGACCGTTTTTGTGTTTCACACAAAAAACGAAGAAATTCGAGTTGTCGTGCATGTCTCTCAGAGATCTACAGTACAATGACTACATGGGTGAAATGAAACTGGCCTGGCCCCGAATTCGGATGACCATCTTCCTCTACAAACCGGTGGCTTGCACGAAACCCTGTTCGAGGGGAGACTCAATGAGGTCTGTTCTTCGCCTTGTTTGCCCCGAATGCGCATCGCGGCACGAGCCCCGTGGCGACCGCGCATCGCATCGCCGGCGGCGCCGGAGGCGGCCCCGATGAGCCTCGTAGGCACAGCGCACGGGACGTTCCACACCGCCCACCCGGCGGCCCTCCTGGCGTTCGGCACGACCGACGCAGCGCGGAGCGCGGAGGACCGGGGTGACCTGCCGAGGCCCAAGAAAGATCACAACGTCACTCACTTGTGTAGAGAAATGTCATTAAATGTCTAAATGTCTATAATGTCACAGGAAATAGCACATCTTGCAGGGAAGTGAAAGAAGTAAGGAATATGGGGGCACCACTGGGGGCACCAGGCCCTCCAATATGTCGGAACATTCAGAACCACGCCCAGGTGAATGGAAACAATTTGGCACACAATCCACCCACAAGGCCCACAACATGTGAAATCTAACATCAAAAACCCTCTCCTGGATGTCCACATGCGCCACACAATCTTCAGGCAATACTGCCGAGTGCCTGCCACACGTTTGCGCCGGAGCACGGATGTATCAGATGCGTGTGATGGAGCATCAAATGGTTTTCGCACCAAGGGGGCTTTGAACGAACCATCTTTCAATGCTCTGGACGTCGTTTGCACCTGGTGGAACCTCTACAGGATCTTCTCTTTGAAACCCTCGCGATCCGGGTGGAACGCCTGAACGCGATTTCCGGCGACGTGTCGCCTCCGAAGCGGCGACGTGTCGCCTCCCGTGACTCCGCTCTCCCCGCGCTGGCGCCTGCCGCGATCGGTGCCCCCGGAGGCCTCCTGACGGGCACAGGCCAACCTCCAAGGGGTGGACCCCCAGGCTCACGATGATAACCTTCTCTATGTGCACATGGCCAGGCCTGCAGGATTGACCTTGAAACTGTCAATGGGTTCTTACTTCTTTGATGCGGAAGCACGTGCCACCTCACCAAACCTTCTATTTTTTCACCATGCAACTCCTGTTTGTTTCCACACTTGCCAAGGCCTTGTTCAACAAGGGGAGGCTGTAATTGCGAAGCTCGGCTTCATGAGGCCCATCCACCCGCATGACTCTTCCATAGGGCGCCCCGTCTCCAATGACGAAGCGCCCGCCCAAACCCATCCTCCCCGCGCGCGCGCCCGGCGCGCGCGGCACCAGCCAGGGCAAATAGGGGAAGCCCGCCGCTGCCAGGTGAAGCCCGGCGACCTGGCGGAGCGACCGGAGCGTACGTCGTCCCAGGGGAAAGAAGCGAAGAAGCGCGCTGGGTGACCCGGGCTGAGGGACCACCGATTGTTTTCAGCTGATGTGGGAACCTACAAGGGTCTTCATGTATTGGATCATGCAGTACATGGATGGATGTTGAGTTGTCCATAAATGTTTGGATGCAAAGGGCAGCACGGCGACAAGACTCAAATGGATCATCAAAACTCGGAAGGGAACAAAAGATTACAAAGTAGAACCTCATGTCCAACTACTACCTACAGTACGTGGTTGCTGGGAGTGTTTTTTGGGCACGACGGTGCGCACCTTGGAAAAACTTGAGGAAGTCCAGGCATACATGCAGAGAAGCTGCTGTGAGTCATTGCCTGCCATCGAAGGTGTTGGTGGTTGAACTTGCGGGGGTTCTGTTTCGCTGCTGCATCCCCCCACTGGCTGTGGCCCACCGATGAGTCGCGACGCTGGGTCGCACCATGAAAGCGATCACCAAGATGAGGCGTTCGCGTGCGTCGGCACCTCGCGGCGTGCGTCGGTCAAAGGATGTGGTCACAAACGAATGGATAGGGGAGGGAAAAAATGGAGTGACGTGGTCACGCGGTCTCTGTTTGGTTGCAACATGCCTTCTGTTGGAGAGGTTGGTGGCGCACGTGGTTGCGCGTGTTTCGGACAGGATGACTTTAGTAGTTCTAATGTATGTTCTACTTGGTCCTCTTTGGCCTCATGGCGGTTCTCCAATGACCACATCTCTATAGCCTACCCAAAAAGCACCCTATACGTAGTTTCTGGCAGGCACTCGCAGTGTCTGGTGGTGACTCAGACTATGGCCCGCTGATATCGTTGTTTCACTACAACTCACTGGCCACGTGGAAACATGGCGCTGGAAAGGTCACCGCTGCAAAGGGTGACAGCTACGTCATGCAGTCTGTCTCCGCCTCCGCCATTGCTTTGGGTCTTTAAATTGACCTGCTGAGTTGCAGGTCAATAAATCTGAATACCTGTCCATTTCCCAGCGATTTGGTTGCAATACCCCAACACTCCATGTATGGCAAATATATGCATTCACCCCTGAAACCACCCTAATCCGCCGACCCCGGTCGGAGCAGGCCGATGAAGGCGATGTCGGTCTGCCATCACATGACCAATCTGACAAAAGATTGACTACGCTCCATCCAACAAACATGGAAGTGGAACAAGGCCCCTTGGAAGACTGAATTCCTTTATGAACCCGCTGTATTCCACTTCCATGATTGTTTCAGGGAGGGTAAATGTCTAAAATTCATCTAAATTCTTTATTCTTTGCTGACCATCGAGATTTTGCGGAAGAGCGTTGCCCAGGATTCGGCCTTGGGCTCCCCCATGGTCCCTGTGGATTCGATCATGAGGCCATTGTGCGGCGTGCGAAAGCCGTGCGTGCAGCCGCCAAAAAGAAGAAACATGCTTTTGGGGAAGGCCGTGAAAGTCTCATGGAGCGTCTGGGATGGGGAAATTCTTCTCCACGACTACGCTGACGCCAGCCTGCGAGGGCCAGGACATTGGCATAGGCCCAGCGTGCCGACAAGCGCTGCACAAAGTCAGGCCCAGCCTGGCTGACAGGCTCAAGTGGCAAGGCAGGCCTTTCAGCTGGCTCTCCACTCTCCCAACATCAAGTAATTATTAATTGAGTTATTGACTTCAGTGACTCCAACCTTCCGAGTACAAGGTTTCCTTCGTGGGACATCCCAATCTTCAGACTGGCGGGTTTCGGATCGTTGTATCGGGTGATCATCCGATGTTCGACTGGGATCTCAACGGTCCCCAATAAGTACGTAGCAAATCACCATCTTCATCGTCTGAGATCGAAGTAGGTCAGGTCAATATATACTGGTAGATGAACGGGCTTACCGCTGGGGGGGATTTGACACCCTAGGGTGTTTGATTCTGGAAGGGATTTAGTTACAGGTATTATATATATATACTTATACAAAGTTCTAGCATGTTCTTCCGATCGCCCGACCGGTGACTCACCCAAACATGGTGGCCATGTTTGAGGCACACGTGTTCGAAGCCAGGCGAGAATTTGATGTTCTTAGACCTGTTTTCTCCGCCAGCTCCGAGTAGATGTTGCAAGGACGAAGAGGTTGCTACTGAGACGGCCCTCCCCATCCGCATTGAAAAAGGCCTACAGTATCTCTCAGTTCGGGGCCGCTGATGCACGAACCACCAACCCGATCAGATCCGCTGATGCACGAAGAAAGCAAAAAGGCTCATGGCATGTGGAAAGCCTGCAGCTTTGAGGCTTCCAATCAAGAGGGGCCATGTGCGTTTCACAGGAGGGAGACCAAACCGTTCTCGAAAGCCCAGCTTTTTTTAGTGGGGGGGAGGTCACAATCACGCAAATAGCACATCATCTGCTTTTCTACTCCCACTTCGCCTGTGGCAGCAAGCCTTGTGGCCGACTCCCCACTGACACCTGGCACCAGGTGTCAACTGGCTTCTTCGCTTCGGGGTCCTCGCTTCGTTCCGGTCGCATCCATCCCTTCCCTACCGGGTCCTCCTGCAAGAAGACGATGGGGAAAAAAAAAAAGAAAAACCATACCGGCATAGACCCCAGATAGCACTTCAAGAAAAGTTGGATAGCACTTCAAGGTATATAGTTGGGGAGGAGAAAAAAAACTTCCCACCAAAAGAACCATCCCCCAAACTCATGGAGCTCTGACTCGACTCAACGTGGAGCTCCGGCACATCTCTGCACGACTCGGAAGTGGGGGATCCACGCGGTGGGGTGGATCCCCCAAACCTCCAGGCCATCAAGACGAGACACCAGAAGTCCCGCAGTCCCGCAGTGGGTTCCTTGATGAACTTCTCCCTATTGGTCGTACTGCAGACCCCCCTTCTTTCAAACACACCTCCAGCACGACCTGCAGTTTCCACGACCAAATGCTGGCCACTGGTGGGGAACCTTTCCATGAAGGAGCAGACCCACAGACAGGACCACGACATCAGTGGCGCTAGACATCGTGTTGAAGGGGTGCTTTGTTGGACCCCCACCAGGTGCCTGGGGCGCCCCCGATCCTCCCTCCAGCGACATGGAACCGCTGGTCGAAACCGTCGGGACCCGACACCTGGACGTTCGAGCTTGCTGGATGGGCCTCAAAACCACTCCAGGTGACTCCTCCTGGTAGGTTTAAGTTCCGTTTCGGCCGCCATTGGTCGGACTGGGCTCCAAAACACCTGAACTTGATCAACAGACAGTCCAACCGGCTCCTGGGTTTCAAATAGTTGCGCAGGCTTCGCAGGCTTTATCAAAGCTCATGTCGTTTTTCCAGAAAGTGCGAAAGGCGTTGCTGCTTCAGTGAAACAGTTTTGTGTCATGGCTTTGCTCATGTGTGCTCGGATGTCCTTTGTCACACGGTCACGCGCTCTTTTTGTCGATCTCGCCCTCTTTGGTCTTCGTTCACTTCGGACACCATATGAGCATCAAACCGGTGGGTACCCAAGAGGACCGAGAACAGCAAGGTGATCACCATCTGAAGCGAAGACGCCGATGTACTGCTCTTCCAGGTGTCTGCCAAATTTCTCTATCTCAAGAGTCCCACGACCACTCTTTACTAAACCCTGGTGATGGTGCTCATCTAAGGCCTCGCCGAAGCCCGTCAAACAAAAATCAGGATGCCACAGCCCACAGCCACTTGATGTCCTGCTATGAAAAAAAACAGCACATTCCAGTGTCTATGGCGGCTAGTGGCTTCGACAAATCGGCAGCACGAGTTGAATCGAGCGTTCGGTGAGCTCAATACAGTGAGATTGAAAAAAGAAGACCTGGAAAAACAATGGGTGTACACATTTGAGAACTTCGTTCCGCCCACGAGGCCAGTGGACAACCTGACCTAATTACAACGACCTACAGCATCTAAGCAAAAGAAACAGAATCCCAAACCCAGGCAATCATGGCTTCAAATGACCAGGTTAAATGCCGGAAACACTCTTCGCTAGTGGTGGGCGCCGCTATGTATGACCTCAATCCAATGGCAGTTTCACATCGAACCGATGTCTTCAAAAGGCCGCTCGAAGCACTGCCTGGCTTTCTGTGGGAAACCTGTCTCGTTCGCCGATCCGCTTGGAACTTGGCATCATGAAAGCTGCCAGCGTCCACAGGTTGGGTATGGGCTCCGTTAACAGGGTCCCTGTTTGCCTCTCTGGAACGTCACAACCGACACACCCAACGCCTAACCGTGGGCTCACCTAACCGGGGGCACATCCAAAGGCGTGCAGGAAGCCCACTCACCCATAGAACATTTAGGCACATCCATTGAACAGAGTAGGGTTGGCTGAGTCACCTGCCAACTGGAGAGAAAACACACTTGGCAGCTTGGAAGCATAAGTGTCAGGAAGTTGACTTGTCAACTTCAGCGGTGGGAGCTGTCCGAGCCTCCCCTGGCACCCGTGTACTGATTCGACCACGCCAAACAGTTATATAATCGAAAAAGCCAAGCTGTGCAAAACTTCCCAGTTGCATTAGGATGTTCCGCTAAACGCGCGATTTCCATATGGCCTTCCGTTTGTAGCTTGCTCTGCCATGCTCCTACTTTGCAAAGTAATTATGCCTCTTGAGTGTTCAATAGCCTGGCTCTGCAGCTGGCTCTGCCGCCTGGCGTCCACATCTTTCATCTTCGCCACAATTCCGTAGTTTCCTCCACCAATCTTCTCCAACAGGACATAGCGGCCGCACAAATGCTCCTCATCGACGTCGAAAGTATCAACCTTGCAGCCCGGAGCCCAGATTGAATTTGAGTTGACTTCCGTTGCTTGTCTTCCAAGTTCTGCATATCCCCTATCATGGTTTCCCTTCACCAATGGCTGTCCCTGCCTCGTGCGTAAGCAGGTCTCTGATGATCGGCGGCTGCATCACAAGTGCCATTGCCTTCCGGAGGTCTCTCCTTATTGGCGCCTTCAAGCAATACAAACGTTGTCAAAGCAGCCCAAATGTCTGCAGCATAATTGAAGGTGCGGTATGCATCGATTCCATAGTTCCAAACGGATCATTGCTCTCAAGAAAACGACTATTATATATATTATACTACTGTATTATATTGTAATTTTGCAAGCTCGCAATTCCGTTTTGCTCTCTGCAAGTGCTGCACAACTTGTCTGAAAGAAAGTGCTCTGCGCAAGCTCTGCGCAAGAGCTAGTGCTCCAGGCTGTGATGTGAGGTGGAACCATGGGTGAACCAGTTGAGCAAAAACCTTGCCTGGAGAAGAGAAGTGGCGGCCTTTTTGTTCCACAAGCCTTGTCATTCTTTACATCCTGATCCTTGTTGAAGCAATTTGCTCGATCTTGTGCCACCAAATTCGATCAACTTGAAGGACAAGAAACTCTGCCGCAAAGGAAACCAGAGACACCGGTCACTCTGCCGCAGGTCAAAAAGGCACTGAGAGGCAGGAACCCGTCTCCTCGTGAGAGTCTGCAACATGGAAAACCTTCAATCTCTGAGTGGCTTCCTTGAGCTCAAAATAAATTGGCAAGCAGGGCATGGCATTGTTTTGCATTTTTGAACGCCCAAACACAGGAATTCAGATGGATCCGCTTCGACTGCTGGTTCCGTCAAGTTATAAGGCTTTGTTCGTTGCTTCTGTCACACTGCCAGCTCTGTGAAAGGTTGGCCACACTGTCAGATGGAGGCCGGAAGCCGTCCATATCGGACTACACTCTTTGGCTCAATCGTCAAGTTAGTTGGACAAAATAGTTGCGTACCAAACACTCATTGGTCGGACTGGGCATCAACGGGTTTGGCTGGTTGACCACAGACAACAGAACGTCCTGGAGGGTCCCAGTGTCAACTGGTTTTGACCCAGGCAGCCCTTCGGCCCGCTCGCGCCTCGCGCCCGCGCCCGCGCAATGCTTGCCGCCCAAGCCTAGACGCGCGGGCGCAAACGCGGAAGCCATGTCTAATTGAAGACGCCACTCCGAATTCATCGATGGCATGGAAATTGCTCCAACCCATGCGGGGTGCTTAGTGCTAGGCTCATGCTTTATCCCACAGACCTGCGAGGCTTCACCTCCAACCCCCGGCCACCGTTGCCCAGGTCTCCCGACTCCAAAAGCACATCACAAGACCTCGAGGATGGCGGATTTCCAGTCGGACAGGTGTCACACGGTTTCTAGCCACAGCGGACGGCCAGGTGTCTAAGCCAGGCCGCGAGTCCGGCAAAAGCATGCCCAAAAGCCCGGGTGTTCGAACGCAGCATCTGCTGCGTGGTTTTTCACGCCGCAGGCGGGGCGTTTCAATGCAGAGGTCCGAGCCCTAGAGTCTTCGAGTCTTCGAGCATGCTGGAAAAAGCCCTCATCCCCTCATCCGGTGGTGCGACGTTTCCTCGAATCCGGGCGGATGGTTCTTGACGGCACAAGGCCGAAGGCCGAAGCTCTCAGCAGGGGTTGACCTCCATTCAATCCATTCGCTTGACGTGAGTGATGTAGATTGTATATTGTGACTCCTTTTTCATAAAGCCACCCAGTAATGACCAGAATAGCTGTTGCATGTCATTTTATCATCTTCCAGCCCTGAAAAGCTGTTGAGATTCCTTGCCTCCCACAGTTGGAGCCCCTGACCCCAGACAGTCACTCCAACCCAAGCAGGGCTCCCCACAGCGCCGCCCGATCGAGGTCTCGGGGCGCCTCTAAGGCGCCTCCGGCATCCGCAGCATCCCCAGCGCCACGTGGGACATGGACCACGTGGAAAAAAGGAAAACGTGGATCGATGGAACCGGCCAACCGGATCGAACAGGCGAAGATGGAAGAGACCAGGCGGAACCGCATGCCGCAAAGCAGTGTGGGTGTTCAGGTTCCGTATGGGTCTCTTCCGGGGCGGGTCTTCGCATAGAGCGAAGAGCAATGGGGATAGCCAAGGGTCATTGTAGGTTCTTTGTTCTCTTTCTCGCGTAGTCTGCCCCAACCGCGCGCCCGACTGTCACCTGGCCATGCTCTCAAACATCCTCTGCGAACGTTGTGGTTGTTGGATGAATCCTGATGAATCCATAAGTCTGCTCCGGTCCCCGAACCAGTCCGGCAGCACCCAGACTGTAGCCTCCCTTCCGCGCGCGGCAAAAGGGGCGAAGCAGCAGTGGCAGGACCTGACATCGACGTGTCCAGCGAGTGCTATCAATGGAGGCAAAGGTTCAAAGTGCGATAATGACACAGCGAGGCACTTCTTGTTGTTTCTCAAGCATGTGCTATGTCATTATGTGTCATGCCGCAGGTTCCTGCGACAAACTTACAATATGAATTACTGAACTGACCGTCGTAGCTTCTTGTTCCGTTCGTAGCCAAACACTCCATGGGACTGCCATATATGCCGCCCCGTTGACCCCCCCTGGCACCATCCCTGGCCTGATCGGTAAACATACCAGTCCCATGGGTCGTGTCTGGGGTAGCTGTAGCTTCTCTTGGGACAAGCGAGGTGGTCGCTTTGAGGCCCCGAAGTCGGCCAAAAGCACCCCAAAAGCACTCACCGGTTCCGAGGGGAGGTGACTTCCGCCCGGGGTGGTTCACCCGTGATTCGGTGGAGGAGTGCCTGCAGCTGCAGGCTGTCTTTGAGCATAGCGCCAGACCTGCCCCAGCGACCAAGCCGTTGAAAGGTCAGTCAAGGGGGCCCAAAGCTACCGAATTCGGGCGCAACGTCTCTTGTCGTAATTGCAGGGTATTAGCAAATATGCACTATAGGAGTCCAAGCGTGCTTTTCATACCTGCAAAGAAACAGGACTGTCAACCTGCAAAGTCAGAAAGCAAGACTCGGCCTGCTCACCTTTCAGCCACGTCCTGTGTCTCACTGCTTTCTACACATCTTCACCCACCGTCTCGGCGGATCAGGTTCGTCCCTTCGACTGTTCCGAACCGTTCTCGTCCCGCCCAACATGCCCGAGACTTGGCCCAACTGCTGGAGGGTCGCAAGTCGGGGTGCCCAACTACCCCGACAAGGGACTTCCGGAAGAGATCTGACATCCAGCTTCGCAGCAGTGGGAAACCCCCAGATCTGCTTAAGAGACCCCTTTCAAATAGTCTTTCAGTGCTGGTGGCCGCTCAGTGGCTATACCAGTGTGGGTTCCCACGCGAACCGCGGAGGAAAGGCCACGCCGAGGGGGCCGACGGATCGCCCGCCTGCCGAAGCCACCAGCGAGCTTCTGCTCCATCCTGAAGCAGAGGGAGCAGGAGCTCAAGCAGGTTCCAGAGGCGTGCTGGACGTAAATGTCAATCCTTCAAATGCTGCTGGCTTCTTGGAATCAACAAAACGCCTGGCAGTAGCCAAGGATCATCCATGAAAACGATCGGAAATCCGAGGTATGCTCCAAACCTCGTGACCCGGCCCCCAATCTGGGATGTGCTGAGGGAACCGGCTCTTTTGGAAGGGTGGATTCACCATGATTCACCCCAAAACATCCACCCCCAAGCATCTTCTCAGGAGGTCGTTGGAGCTCATCAACCGCAAATCATCGGATCAGCCAAACAAAAATCACCTCGCCCTGGGCCCCCCTGGGCCACCCTGGGCCCCCCTGGGCCAACCCCTCAAGCCACCCTGGGCCGCCTGCTGACGGACGTCTTTGGCCCGTTCCTGGGGATTTGGCCGGGGATCCTTTCTTTGGCGCGTGCCTTCGGAGAGGTTTGGTGCCTCTGTTTCAAAGGCATTCAGAAACCGGTTAGGCCTCCCTTAGGCAAGCAGGGATCTTGCTTGAATCGACACAGGCAGAAACTCACTCCGAAGACCCGTGGGGGGGGAGTTGTACCACTACACTTCGGCTCGGAAGTGGAAAACCCCTGGGGTAGTAAAGGAAAGTCGTCTTCCAAGGGGCCATACCACCCACTTCCATGTGATGTGTTTGTCAGAGTGCAGCTTCTTCCATCTTTCTCCTGCCATTCACATGCGGACGCAGCCAACTGCCACATGTTTCGAACCGCCCCGCCACAGCCGCCGCGGCCCCAGCCTTCGGCAACGCAGCCATTCCCGGAGTCCGGCCTTCGTTGGGAACGAAGCGCTTCCGGCGCATCCAGAGCCAACAAATGAGTTTCCGTTATTGAGCATGGCTGGAACGGCCTAGAAAGAGCCACCAGCTACCTATGTAAGCCTTCCCAACAGAAATTGCCAATTGCTCCTTGAAAACCCGGCGTCCAAAGGTTTGCGCACCGAGAGCGAGAGAGAGAGAGAGAGAGAGATTGCTGGCATCTGCTTGTACACCTCATGTCTTTCAACGGATCTCCTCTTTCACACCTACGCGCCCCCACAGGTTCCCGCCGCACGGCTTCTCTCCCCCCGCGGGCGGCTAACCCGCCAGGCGTCCCGACCAAGGCTGAGACTCTCCGCACTGCCAAGGCTTCGCGCACCTCGGCGTTTGGGACGGACTGAGACCCGAGCGATCCAAGAGGATGGAGGAGATTCAGCTGCGTAGGGTTTCACAGCCAGACCCCTCAAAGAGAAATTAACAACGAAACCGAACCAAATAGCAGCCAGGCAGCCCAAAACAAGACCAACCCCAACATCCCCAACTAGCCGCAGCCTTACTCCCCCCTTGCCCCACGCCCGGGAGAGAAAAACCAAACGCCATGATCACACAAACAAACAAACAAACAAACAAAACAAACAAACAAACAACCAACCAACCAAGCAAGCAAGCAAGCAAGCAAACAAACAAACAAGTGGGGAGACCGAGGAGACCAGGCAGCAGCGGCAACAGCGGTGGACCAAAACGCCGATCCGCCACCCAGTGCCACCCAGCCATTGCGAAGGCAAGAATCCCTACACCTAGAGAATGAATGGAAACACGTGCTACGTACATGTCTACGTACTTGGCCAAGTATTGAATACGATATTGTGAGTACACGAGCTCGGGATTCGGTATTTTAGCTTCCACCAATCCTCGGACACCCCGGGCCCCGAAGGTCGCTTTCGGTCCCCCAGCCGCTCGGGGGGTCCACGGTGTCGGCGCCAAGTCGAGGCCGCAAAGCCACACGACCAGGCCTCGGTTAAGCGTCGGTCGTGAAGGCTTCGACCAGGAGGAAAGGAAAAAAGCCATCGACCATCTGAGCCCTCCCACAACCATCGTCCAAAGGTTGAATCGCAAAGCCTGGACAAATGAGGAAGCTTCCTCCTCCCTATGTTCTAGCCAAATGAGTGGAAGCATGGGGCATCACATTCACCGTTGACGAAACTCCATGCGTGGCTGGAGCATCCTCCACACCAAGCACGTCTGATCAAAAAGCCCCGAGCTGGGCGTTTTTCATGGCATTATGACTGTGGGTCATGTCACTCGGGCGCCGACCGCTTGACCATGAACAGAATGGCCGAATGACGACCACCGAAGAGCTACAGCTTTTTGGGGACCCGTGGCTTCGTCCGCGGGGACGCCTTCGAAGCTGGTGATCTCGCCCTCGGACCTCGGCTCCGCGGGTCTGCCAAGCAGAAGGCGGGCGAAACCCACCAGAGAGGGGGCGGAACTCCGGGCGGAACTCCGAAGCGCGGCGAGGTTCGGAACGGAGACATGGAGCGGAACAGGTCCAACTCGTGATCATGTCTTGGTCTTGTTCCATCTTAGCTGATTCCGAACGCAGACATGGAGCGCGGATTCGTGCCCAAGCACCAAATTTGCGCCATTATGGGCAGGTCTATACTTTTGCCCAGCAGCTTGAGGAAACCCACGTCCTGATTCAAGTGTGAAATGGCGGTGGCACTCACTACTTTTCTTTGTTGGAAATGGCGCCGTCGCTTAGGGAACATCACGACCGCCTCCGAATGCGCGCCAAGGATCTCCTCCACACACAGAAGCAGCCGTGCGCCATCACTACGCGCCCACCTGGGAAGCGACTCAAGCGACTCTTGTTTTGGGTGGACAGCCCATGGCGTTTGCTTCGCTGATGTTCCACCGGTCTTCAGGTCGACCACGGGACCGGTCGACCCGGGCCTTCTGCGCAACTCGCAGCTGAAGTGGCATCCTGCAGGTGAAAGACCCTCGACGTGACGCGGGGTCCGCTGTACGTAGCTTGGGCACGTACTTCGTTGGGTCATCCAAGCCGGCGAGACCGACTGAATGCGGAATGCAGTGGGAATCTGTGGGATTTGAAGAGTAGATGGTCCAAACCCCATTTAGACATATATAGACCACCCTAGACTTGTGGGATGGAGGGTCAAGGAGCAGGAGCACGGCTTAGGAGGCTAAAGGTCACTGTGCCATCTACTCTGAGGTCACTGTGCCTGATCCCTGTTTTTGACACCCAAACATGTCCCACATCTCGCCTGGTATTCCAGTGCGACACCTCAGCCGCAGCACCTCGACACGGTCCGTGTGGCGCGTTTTTCGGGGTTGGGGGTTTGGACCCAGCGACTTCCCAGTTCTGCCCAAGAACCCTCCAACTCAAAAGGGGTCTGAGTTGGAATCCCAGAATCCCAGCATGAAATATGGATGCCCTGATCCAACTTCATGATACGTGCTCGAGCTATCTCGAGCTACCAGATGCTACCAGTAAGACCGATCTGTTGAGTCTGAAATCCTCCCACCAGGCACTCTGGCCCGGAAGACTCAGCTTTTGGGGATCAACCGCCTGCCGTCAACGATTGGACACCAACAGGAACCCGCCGACTGGACCTCATCTCGTCCCGGCTGCAACCTCGGCGGCGGGGCGGCATGGCGATCAGAAAGGAGGGGCCTTGGGGAAGCGTCCCAAGACAAAGACCGTTTGGGCTCTATGTCTGATGTCTGGGAAGCTGGAGAACGACCTTCTTGACGAGGGCAAGTGCCAGCTCAAACATCTCAAACCCAGAATATGGCAGCCCATGGTCAGTGCACAAAAGCCACAAATAAGCGAATACTTGCAAATGGTCCAAGGATGTACCCCATCAAAACGAGCCAGGCCCTGGCGCATGCTACCCTGCCTGCAGGGTAGCTTGCGCCATCCTCAAACCGGTCTCTTCTTGCGATCGCAGATCCACCAGAAAGCCCGAAGGACTCCTCCGAGACCTGTGTCACCGATTCGGGCGCCCCGCTCAGCCGGGGTCGCCCGCCCGACGAAGCGACGCTACACTGAACACCGCGGCCCAGGCACGAGAGGGGCAACGACTCCAGGTGGTCTGGCTGCCAGTCTCGGAATCTCCAGTGCTCCATCAAGGCCTCGAACTCCGACGCTCCGAGGAGCGAAGCACCCCAGTCCCAGCATGTGTGGTTTGGTTTGGTGTGTGTGTGTGTGTTCTTCCGGGCTGGAGATCGTTTGTTCGGGGGGGGGGGGGGTGGAGGGTTCTTGGTGCTTAGCGTGGTCTTGTTGACGACCTGCCAGATGATTTTTGGATGAGAGCAAAGCTCAAGGAGCTCCCCCTAGACATGGACATCTTGGAAACCAGCAGCCTGCCGAAGCGAACTTCCAAATGCCCTCTCTCTGCCAGGGCTTGGTCCTTTTGCGGACGGTCAGTGTCATAGTCACTCTTCGCCACCACGGACCCGACGCTTGGTGTCTTCCGTTCGATGGCACCGACCCGGTGTCCTCATTGTCCGACGTACAAACCGTTACTTGGGGGCCCCGAAAACGTGCCATCAAACCATCCTATAACCATGGTAATGAATACCACTCCGTCAAGCTATCAACTCCCACGTCTTTTGTCCGGTCCGAAGAAGGCAATCGAGCTTGCTGCACCTGAAGGTGCAAGGAACCGCTAGCTGCCGTTCACAGGAGATCGGCATGGATCTTGGCATAAGTCATACCTTCACCCATCGAGCATAAGTCGTGTTCAAATCGAATTTCCACCACTGAACTACCACCTCACCATCAGAACAGGAAGACTCCACTACAAAACCCCTCTTGATCCAATGGTTTCAGTCTAACTACATGTGTCCTGATTCCTGGTCCTCAGCACCATGTTCCAATCCACTCCCCACTCGGCAGGACGGTGAAAACCAGATGATCTCAGATCCTCTTCGCACCGCGAAGGAAGGACTCGCGGGCCAGCGGGTGTCTTCGTTCGGTTCCGTGCCGCCCCGGCACCCCTTAACAGACAAGGTCTTAATTAGACGGGGGGGGCTCCATATCAACATGCATATAAATCATATACCAGCACCGAACCCAACAGGTCGAAATGGAGGGTTGGGAAGGGCCCGTCACAGGTTTCAATTGGTGACCTGTTGGAGGTGCTGGTATGAATCACCGCACTCAGGGGTAACTGGTGCCATCATCTATACTCTTCAATCCTCTGTCAAAACCTCCGCGCAGCACCGTCGGAGGGCCTCCTTGACCTCCTCCACCGGCACGTTCACACAGGCCGCTGCCGCCACCACTGGGACCCCTTCCGGCGGAAAAAGGTGGTTTCAAATGGGGAAACACCCCGAACTTGATGTGACCATCTGGCAGGAGCTGAAGAGAATCGAGTACCCAACTGCAAGTTGGTGCAGTTTTGCCCGGCCACCTCCCCTCCCCCACGCAAAAAAAGGATGTCAAAACAAGAAAACAAATCATGCCAGGGTGGAGGCGGCTTCTTTTTCTCGCGCCAAATGGTTTTAAAAACCTCCTCCCATCCAGCGAAACAGGAGCGGCCGCCACATCCGATTCGCCCCGCAGCGACCGAGAAAGTTTCGAACGAGCACGAGCTTTTTAGCTCTTTCGAAGGAGCACGAGTGAAAAAGGATGGGAGAGGGAAAAATGGAACAGCTCAAGTCCCAGTCCCCGCACACCAAAAGGATGGTTTCATCTATTTTCCATCGTTCAGAACAACCCTTGCGGGTGGTGCTGGTCTTCCAACAGGTTTTCGATGCTTGCTTGGTACCATTTGGTACGGCACTCTCTCACCCAAATCTCGCCAGATCAGCCTCTGGCTATGAAGCACAGGCTCGCTGCTCCTGCCAGCAACAAGGCTGCCTCGGCGACGATCGAAAGGGCGAGGGGGGGCTAAGAGGTCTAACGCCAGGAGCATCCTGCATTTGCTTGAGGCTTGAGGAACCGGGAAAACATGATCAAAGTGCATTATTTCCTAGAAGGTGCTTCATCCATAAGGGGAATAAAAGTCACCCTTAAGCAAGACCAAGTTATAGATACCAGTACCAGCCTGCACATCTTTTACTCGTGCTGGGCTATGACACGCTGCGACGACACTCAGCGATGCGACCAGAGAGGAGTCTCGAGACCAAAGCGATGGAAGCACAAGATTCACCCCCCAGCAGGTTCCAAAAGGAATGGTTTTAAGTCCTTCAGCGAGCCCCCTAAGGATCCAGTCGTACCTCCTCAGGTACGGTGATTGTTCGACGCTCTTATGTGAGTTTTGAGGGTCCAATCACCGTACCTGAGAAGGTACGACTGGATCCCTAAGTGAGTGAAAACACAAACAAAACCCAAAAGGCCGTGTTTCAGCGGAGGCACGATTCCAGCGCTGATCGGGTCTGCCATGCTCCAGGCCTCCCCACCGACACGTACCAGGCCGCCCAAAGGCTGCCTAGGCCTAGCCTGTGGCACAGGCGAGCCAAGCGGTTCCGTGTGTCCTCTCCTGTGTGCAGGCCCACTTTTTGGCAGCCAGCAATGAGGTGGGATTCGTTCGATCTATATTGGACGTTCGATCGCGCTTGCCAGGTGTTGTGTGCATGTTTGGAGTATCGAAGGTCATCCAGCCCGTCATGGTTCGGGTGAGGAGTCCAAGGCAGGAAGGCAGGGAGGTGTCCTGAAAAGGATGCAGTCGCCTAGCTGGCATGGCTACAGGACTGCGACGGTGCGACGGAAGGAACATCACAGGAGTTAGATGATGATCCCCACTGCCCCATGGATGGTTCCGGAAGAAGTTGGAACCAATGGTCTTGACCCCATGGATGGCTCCGCAGGATCTCATGCCCCCCCTGGCATGGCGCGGAGGCCGCGCCGGACATCCGGCGCAAACTCTTGGTTCGGCTCAAGCGTGCCAAGGGTGGCATGGCCAGCAGGAGCAGAAAGAAGAGGTCCTAAGCGGATTGGACAGATGACAGATGACCGAAGAGGCTGGTGTTCATGTCTGAAAGCCTTCGAGGTCGGTTCCGGCGCCTGAAATTCCCTACTGTGGGGCCGCTCAGTGATTGAATGGCAAACGAACTGAAGGCCACCTATGGCGTGTGGTCCAACTACTGACTTCATAGATTCCACTGCCTCCGCCAAAGCCAGAACCTTCCACAGGCCTACCCAGGTCAGTGAGGAAAACTCATGGTAGATGAGATGTTCAGAACCCGTTCAGCCCAGTTCAAAACGAATCAGATGAGTTCAAAACGAGTCTTTCCTGCTCGCAACTTCAGCACAAAACCCGTTCATTACCTGAGGAGGGCATGATAAATCAACAACCCGCCCCCCTCATCCCCTCATAAACTCACCCCCGCCCACCCTGCCTTCCAGGTTCTTCGCAAAAGCTCTTCAGAATCTGGCGCGGCCGATTCCAAATGGAATCCCAAAACCACAGGTTTTTTGTGGTCCAGTCGCAAAGACAAACCCTGAGTCTATCAACCCAACATCCAGCATGCACAAATGATATGCTTCTTCTGCGTCCAGACATGAGGCAGGTCCAGGTTCCAAAGACATCATCTAAAGGGCCCAAAAGATCCCCAGAGCTTGAAGCCATGAGGTCCTCACCCAACCCTATAAGAGCTGGAAGTTGGGCGCTTGCCCAAAACACTGCTGGCTAAACCGGGCGACAGGAGTGCCCTCCAGCTGCCCAACAGCCATTTGGGAGTGCATTGTCATAGGGAGACACAGAAGCCAATGGTTAGACTGATCTATTTGGCTTCTTAGACCCATGGGTCGTTGCCAGACTATGGTTAACCAGTGGGTCGTTGCCACGGTCGTTGCCATGGTCGTTTGGTTGCTCGTTTGGTCGTTGCTACCTAAACCATTCCCGGTCTCGTCACCTGGAGCTTCCAGAATCCGCAGCCCCTGCCGCAGCTCCCGCCTGAAAAACCGAGCGGGAACGGCGCCGCGGAACGGACGCGTGCGTGTTCGTGAACGGTGCCACGGCGCTGGATGGTGCAGCTTCTTCCACACTATCGAAGTATACGACCAGCACCCGAATTGCGGTGGTTGATTGAATGGAAAATGGATGAACATAGATAGTCAGCTGCTTGGCTGAGGTTCGTTTTGCTCCAGTGCACACTGCACTTCGTCTCCATGATCTGAAGACTTGACGTACAGGTGGGGCAGTCTTGAAGCCCCTCACTCTGCACCTCACTCTGCTTTCACTTGTTCTGACCAGCTTGATTCAGCTTGATTCGCACATCCGCATGAGATCGCCAGACTCCGCCCCAAATCCGGTCCCCCGACCACTCGAACTCCTCCGGGCCATCCGGCAGAGCGCCACGATGCTCCAGCAGCTGCACCAACACCTGGCTCCAAACATCCGTGCCCTTCGAGACGCGGTCCCCTGATGAAGCTTCTTTCCCAGTCGGTTGAAGCTTTTTACCCCAAAGACTCGGAGGACGGTGAAGTTCTCGGGTGGGAACGTCCCCTCCACTTGGAGGGACTGCGGAGCAGCAGTTGTACCGAGAGCATGGCCGGAAGTGGAGGCCCTGAGATCACGTTCGCGTGTTTTTTCTCACATTGGGACCACCCTGGGATTGCCCAAACCCAGAAGTCTCAATGTTTCAAACTTTTCAGGGCAGCATTCAAGATCAGTTGACAACAGCCGTCTGAGCCTGGGTCCTTCATTAGCAGGAGGTCACCCTCACCTGTATCATCCTGTATCCAAGCTCATGTGACTCCCAATCGCGCTGCCTGGCTACAATGCTTCATCTTCGCCTCCTGCCAAGTCTGAGCCGCCGGCACAGCCAGCGGAAGCTCCTCATGTGACAGCGAAGTCGAAGATGCGCTGGAATTCCCATACAAAATGATGTTAGGCTCATTTAAGTTCTATATATATGATGTATGTATGATCATGATTGATCATGTATGTAATTATCAAAGATGTGGCTAAACATTCCCAAACAGCTTACTAACAGTCTTATGCTCCAAGAATCTATGTCTGAAACATGCACGACATGGAGTCGGCGAGCCCGCCACTGGTGAAACTCAAAGAACTTATTGGACCAAGTGAAACTTGTGGATGTGGCTAACAGTTTCACTTGGGTAATAGTTCACCACCAGTCACCCTCCTACTCCACTACTTCGCATGAGAATCTCGAGGTGTGTTCGTGCACAGACAAAAGACGAGTCTCGAGCAGTTCGCATCAGGTGCTGGAACCAAGAAAACACAGAATCAATGCTGTTGACAAGTTTTTAGACTCTTGATGTTTTTGGACTCAACAACATCAGTGTATGCCCACAACAATTCTTCACCAGTCAGAGGGGTGTGCAGGAGATCCTGGGTCGCAGTGCAGGGTCGTCCAGCGACACCAAACAGGATCATGGCTAGTTGACCTGACTCCAAGTTACCAAACACCAATAACTGACGTTTGCTCTTTGTTGCTCGTTCCCGGTTCCCTATATAATTGGAGCCACAAAGGATGGAGCCATCCTCGGGCCCCGGACCGAAGCCAGGATCTGGCAGCGCCTGAGGTCCGGGCTCCGTTGGATCCTTCCGGTCTTCCCAAGTACTTCGCACGTGACACAATGACACATGATGGAAGAGGGCATCACCATCCCCTCTCTCAAGTTCGTGGAAGAATGGAGCGGTCAGCGACAAGTACTACATGCGGCTACACCTGGCTACACCTGCTTCAAAGTGACTTTTTGGAGTCCCTAAGTGACCTTTTCCATGCCTTAGCGACCTTAAACCCCAGGGCATCAAAAAGGTCACTTTGAAGAACCAGGTGCACGACTTTTGGGGCGTCCCATCGATTCATCAACCAACCAAGGCCGTAAGTCGGCCCATCTGTGGTGCCTCTACGATTCAGAAGCCTACAATGATCCATCCAGTGACTGGCACAGCATTGGGGGGAAGCCCTGTTCGGGATGGTCCAAGCTGAAATGATGTCTTGACAGAGTCCTGTCACAGGGCCTTTGGGGGGTTCTCTCCCAAAACGGGACCAAGTCAGTGTTCTATCATCATCCATATTGACACCCCAAAAAATGGAGCCGGACGGAAACAACTCTCCTTTCACCCCCTTCCGGTACTTTCGCTCGCGCGCCCAGAAGCGCCCCCATCGCCGGGCCTGGCGGAGCTCGGCGTCGGGATCTCCACCCGAGGCGGGCTCCCCAGCTTGCTGGCCGCCTGGTGAATCGCGGTAGTACGACCCATCTTCTCCGATTCGCCGTCGAGGTTCGAGGTTTGTGGGTCTTGGCTGTGGGAGGGTGTGCGCCCATGATCATGCCGAAGCCACGGAGGAGAAGCGCCCGCGGCGACATGTGGTGCCTGAATTCGCTCCATCCATTCAGAGGCCTCCTGCTCACTACAGCCCGACAGGCAGTAAGAACGGCTGCCACCTGGGCGGCAGGAGTTCAAAAACAACCACCTCCCAACAAAAAACAGCAAGGTGTTCACCCTATAAACCTATACCCTAGAAGTCCAAAGACTATACTTTTCGATAGTGAAGTAAAGGAAAATCCCTTTCAGGTACCCTAAAAACCATTCTTTTTATAGTCTTTGACTCCCAGGGTCGCTGACACGCTACCATAAAACCATCGTTCCACGTTCAACGATTCATCGATGACGCCGCCACGAGAGGCCGTCGTCACCGCGATTCGGGATGCTACCATCAGCACAACCATTCCACAACATCCCACAAACCCATTCCGACATCAGCCAGCACTAAGAGCCTCCCACACTTTCTAAGAAACCACCTCACCTCAAGGTGATATTTAATGATCTTTATTTACCTGCCATTTGGCATCCGTCCGAAGCTCTCCCCTCAGAGATCCCGGGCTCTTGCTCACCGCAAAGGTAAACGGACGGCTCTGATCCTTCAGCCATTCCACAGTGACACCACCTGAGCGTCCGAGTCCCGCGCCAACCGGCACCAGGCGACGTCGCCGCTCGGCTGCAGGCGCAAAACGCGCAAAGAGGGAGAAAAAAAGAACAACAGCTTCAGCAGGATTTGCTGCGCCAGCTAGAGAGAGAGAGAGAGAGAGAGGGAGAGAGAGACTGAGACTCGCAAAAGTGCTTCGGAGCACCGTTTTTTTCAGAACTCCCACCCTCCCCGTTCGATCCTGGATGGCCTTGAGGGGCCGCCCGTTCGAACTTGGCCAACGAGGCGCTCAAGTGGATGGCGTCGCGGGGTCGAGCTTCGTGCTGCGAACGGTAGTACTGCAAGGTCTGCCCTGGGTGTTCGACGGACACGGCGAGGGTGGGAGTGAGATCCCTTTCAAAAATCCTAGGGATAGAGGGAACAAGGCTTTTGGGGTTAGGAGACGGTAGAAATCCATTTACTTTCAAATGTGGATTTTCTTTGGCCCACTGCTGTCAGCGAATCTAGGTGAAAACAATATAGAAGCCAAGACTCTAGAGATACACCGGGGTAGAAAAATGATGAAAATGAGACTCGCAAATGGTGATGACTCCTCGAATGTCGAGTTAGACTGACTGCTGGCCCCATCTAACCTAGAATTATGACTCATGATGTAGCTCCAGCCGCCAACCAATGGAGACAAGGCATGATGGTGTTTGAACCTACGGAACCTACATGGTGCCCACACACATGATTCAACCCAAGCTCTGTTGTACCCAAGCTCGCTCTGGGCCCGATAACAGGATGCCCATGGATGCTCCATTCAGATGGTGCATCGATAGGCATCGTGTGACGTGTAGGTTGGGGAAACATCCCTGGCCATTCACAAATAAAGCACCGAACTCGCGACAGCCAAACGCCACGGCCACAGAACTCCGCCACGAGTCGGGCTTCTCCCGGAGTCCGTCCAGACCGTGGGTTTTTTTCCAAGCCGGTCCTGGCTCGACGACCGGGACCTTTGCATACCGCACAACGAGCTGCTCGGGTGGAAAAAAACGGTGGGTCATCTCGATTCACACAGGGCTCACCTGGATGCATCCCGGAATCCTCCCAAGTTGTACCCCCCATACCCAGCCCAGGTCCCGCGACCGGCCCACCGGGGGCCAGCCCGTCGAACGAGGGGCCAATGAGCAAGAAGTAGCGGAGGTTCCAGGTGTTGTTCAAGATCCCATCACCTCGGCCACGCATCCGGCGGATGGAAAGAACGACCGTCATGACCCTCATGACCTCTTTTGAAAATCCATCCGCTGAGCTCGGTCGAGCTCATCGAGCTGGATGACAGTCCCTGATTCTCCGGTATTGGCTACCAGCGGAGAATCAGACTTTGAATCTAACAAGAAGCTACTAGGTTGGAGGTTGGAGGGCCATTACTGCTAGTAACTAAGAAGATCCCAGATCCCAGTAGCAATGTTTCCAGAGCAGTTGGACGCTCGACCACGCTTGACACGTCTTCGTTTCGGGCCCCGACCGCGTCTTCGCGAGTTCGACCACACCGAGCGCCGAAAGCGGCCGACCGGAACGGTCCGGCGGAGATGCTCCACCTGCCGTTTACGGCTCTTGACTCGCACCAACTCCCCCATACCCAGACACGACCCATGGGACTGCCAGAAATGCCGATCAGTTGGGGTGGTGCCAGAGGGGTCAATGTAGGCATATATGGCAGGTCTGGGATATGAAGTCCAGGGGTTCGATTGATCCTGATCAAATCGTCTATACCTTCCTCATCATCGCCAAGCATGAACCGACTGGACGATCCAGGCCTCCAGTGTCCCCGGAACATCCCTTGGCTTCCTCTTCGAGGCTTCTCCGTCCGGAGCGTCGACTTCCTCCAGACGGGCGAAGTGCCCAAAAAGCGCCGGGAGTGGGCACATTCTTTTGTGACAGGTGCCTCCTTCAGCTTCGAGCTTCGAGCGCCGCAGGACGAGCTGCACTTAGACACACCGGTGACGCATCTCGGAGCCAAAAGGCGGTGGCCCCGAGCGCCACCAGCCACGCACCAAGCTCCATGCGGCCTTGGGCCCGGTCTGCTTCAGCCGCTGAGAGTGTTGCAACGGTCGATCTTGCCGAGCTGCGCCATTCCGTTGCCCTGTGCAGCGGCATCAGTGCAGTCTCCAGGCATCATTCGTGCAGTCTCCTCTGTTTTGGCCCTGCAAGAGTCTGCAAGGGTGTAGGCTTCTTTAGGATGGTCAGGTTCATGAGTAGCGTCGCTTCAGCCATGATCCAAGTTCTCAGGGTTGTTGGGGTTCAAAAAGGGGCCACTACTATATATTGCGCAAAAACCCTTCGCCCAAAACCGAGGCATGGCGGAGTTTTCTAAAGATCGGATTGGGGTCGAGGCCATGGCCCCATGGCGCGGGGGTCCGGGATGGTGGGCTTCCCGGCCCAGCTTGTAGAGGAAGCCGTTGTGGAAGGGCATGCCCTTCGAGAGGGAGGGCTGAAGGAGCACCTGCACAGAGAGGAGAGAGGCCTGTGGAGGATCGAGCGACGCCCCTACCCTCCTTTGAGACCGAGCACCCATCATCAAAAATACCATCTTGGTCTTACATGACATGAAGTCTTACATGAAGTCTATCAGGATGTCCAAAACTAGCAACATCTAGTAACCATAGCCTCACGTCTCTTGCCCCGCGCACCGGACACGGAACGCCGGACACGGAACACCTCTGGATCGATGCTGGGCGTGGCGGGCGTGCCGGGCCCCTCGTCCTCCAGGTCCGTGTTGATGGTCCTTGGAGTGGCCGGTGAGCTCGCGGTGGACCCCCTCGTGGTGGACCCCAGCCAGCACGAAAACAGGGCATCCAGGAGTCATAGGGCTGGCTTTGGGGTCCCTATAGGTAAGTGGATGTTCTTGGGGACCCCTATCCTCCAAGCTTGGCACCCCTTGGTGACTCCTGGATGACGGGTGTTTCTGGAACAACTCTTCCCGACTAAGCGATGGAAGACATGTCCAAAGCAAAACCGACACCTAGATTCTAGATCCTACCGTTTCCTCCAACCAGCGTCGACCAGTCGACACGCCGGGCAAAAACCACACACCAACACAGTGTGTTTGTCCAGTGGTCAGATGAGTTCTCTGCACTTCGCGCGACATTGACCACTTTCAGCTATCAGATCAACACAGGTCAGATTGAGCCGGTCAGCCGGCTCCACGATGGCATGATGTCAACAATTGCAGGGGTGGCCAGTTCGAGTGCACCAGTGACCCATCGCGATTCGGTTCCGGTTCTCGGGCCAAAAGATGGGCATCCAACTCGCACACGGTGCGGCGGTATACATCCGTGGCCGCGGTGATATGTTCTTCGAAGGCGTTGGCCTAAGAAACGAAGATCACGAAGGTTGGACAAGTGCCTGAGATTGGTGGGATGCTTTTTTGTCCAAGGTTTGCCATCCCAGCACCATGTAACAGTCCAATTGTCCGCTTTGGTCAGGTTCCGGGCCTTTCCATCTCAAAAAGAGAGATCATCTTCCAGCACCCTCCAACAGGTCTCCTTTGGAGGGTTGTAAGGCCCTGTTGGAGGTCTCAACTGGTGACCTGTAGAGTCGGGTGCTGGTTTGAATTGACTGTTGTCCGGGTCATGGGACACACCCTAGGTTTGCCTCAGAATCTCTCTTCAGGGCCTCCCGGGTCTCCACCTCCCCACCTCCCGAGACCAAACCAAGCCGCAAGCCGCCCGAGCCTCCTTGCCCCGGGCGTGACGCTCCGATCCGGGTGAAAGGTCTGGGTTGGGCATTGGCACTTCTTGGACCATTCCAGAAAAAGAATCACAAAGGCCTCAAACAGAAAAGAAGTACTGCAAACGGTGGATGAATCAAGCCGTCCATGTGAAGATGGTTTGCTGATCAATTAGAACACTCCGCCTCCAATGCATTCGACCACCGATTCAACCGGTGGGGACGGCACGAAATCTCTACTCCGGCCTGACCGAGGATTGGAGGGGTCTATCTAAACGAGAGTGGGCTGAGTAGATGGAACAATTCACAAGTTACCCCTAAGTTTGGCAGTATGATGCAAGAATGACCTCCTTGGAGTGCGAGTGCACTCTGCACTCGCGTGGGCGTTTGAATCAGACCTCCCCAGTCTCCTGGATGGTCCAACAACCAACAGCGGGGGTTTGCCGAATGCTGCCCCCCTGTACCCCCCTTCCATCCCCTAGGCCCTAGCCATCATCCCATGAACTTTTTTAACAGAATTCAAGGAACAGAAAATGAACACCGAAAAACAGTCCACAGAATCGCAGCTCCAACAGTAATTAGACGGGCTCATTTAAAGGAGTTGTGAAACCGGAGGCTGGAGGGTTGATTGATCACCCAGTCATACATACCATGAAACCAGCTGACCAGTCTGGTGTCGGCTCGCCTGCGCAGTCCCAGAAGAGGCCTCCAGCGCCTCAGGGGGTCTTCCGGATATTTCGGAGTGTTTTTTATAACAAAGTTCCTACGTAATGGACTCTTTGGCATCATATATTGGAAGAGCTACTGCCATCACACCTGACTTGGATCCGCGCTGGCCCCTTCGGTGCACATACGAAATCAGGGTTCGATGCCCAGGTGGAGTCTCAAGCATGCTCAGAGTGCAGCATGGAGTGGAAACGGTGGAACGCACCCACCAGACGGTCCCAGTGGCATTCAGTGTTCCGTTTTCGGGTGCATGAACATGGCGAACCTCATCAGGCTGATCGTCACAGTCGGGAATCGTCACGACACCTCCGGTGAACAGAATAACGAAAAAAACACAGGCAGCAGCTGGCTGCCAGTCGCGAAAAATTGAAAACCCATGAACATCCTCCTAATAATTCCTAATAGGATGTAAATGGCCTTCCCCCCCAAAAAGAGAATTGCGATCCAAGAATATCTCCAAAAAGACCTTGAACGCGCTTGAACTCTTCTTCCGCTGCGCCGACCGGGTCGAGCCCACCACCCAACGTCCGCCTCCGCCTGTCCGACTCACCGTACGGCCGCCTGATCCGCGTTCCGACGCCGTCGTTCCGATTCGTCGGGCGTCGCGCAGGGGCTCCGAAGACTCGTCTGCGTGAGCGAAAGGAGTCCCGAACAGGTCGACCGTTTCGTCCAAACATCGGTTTCGATTCGTGCCCAAAGGTCCCGGAGGAAAAAGGGTTCCAAGAGGTTCAAGAGGTTCAGGGGGAAATGGCTTTGAAAAGCTATTGCTTAAGATCCGGCTCTATGTCTTTTGAAAAACTGAACCTCTTAGCAAGTGAGTTTGAAAAGCCTGCGACTTGGCCCTCGACGGTGCAAGTGAAAGACCCTTCCGCCCCGATTTCCCATCAAGCGCCATCGATTTCCCAAATGTCCTGCGTCACATCCACTCGCCTCTCCTGGCGTCCTGCGGGGCAAACATGAACCATCCAGTGCGGCCGAGGCCATCTGCTAGGTGGAGGCCATCGCTATTAGGTTGGAGGCCATCGCTAAATAGCTATACTATATAGCTACTCGTAGTGTCTTGTTACTAGGAGCGATGGCTTCCAACCTAATAGCGGTGGCCTCCACCTAGCGCTACTAGAACCATCCAGCGCGGCCTTCCCATCTCCCTCAAGAGTGCACCTGCGGCAGCCTGGCAGCCTGTTGCGCCTCTTGCACCTCTTCCTCTACGTCTTGCGGTGTGGAAAGCTCGGCTGGTTTAGTTTGGTTCTTCCGACTTCCTCGGAGTGCCCGCAGGGACGCGACCGGGTGCCAACGTGCCACGATCCTACGGGTGGCGCAGTGGTGGGAACCGGCCATGTGGGAGACCCATAGGCCACGAGGTGGACCAGAAGTGCATCATTCGTCCCGCAGGGTAATCCTTGGGCCCCAAAGCTTGCCTAACAAGCACGGACCTCGAAAAGCATGCAGGTTCATGTGACCCATGTTCCTTCAACCCCTTGCAATAAGAACAGCCCTCTTGAAGATGCTTCAACAAATGAGAACCTGAGATATGGCCGGACAAAGCCAAAGATCCACTGACCTGAAAGCGAAAGTGTTCACCAGATCCAGCATCCCCTGACAGCAGCTCCTGATCATTGGAGACTCCTTGTGTTGAGCCTCCCGGTTGCTGGAAGCAAGGAGCTGACTGGCGAAGTGGAGAGGATGTTGGTAGACCAACAGGCATTCGTTCTGGTGGGGGGCTTCTCTCTATCTGCATGCTCTTATCTAGTGCCGGTCGAACTATCTAGACATCATATATCGTATCCTGTCATATTAATATCCTATATATATATATTGATGACTATATATATATATATTGTATCTCTATCTGATCTGATCTGGTGCCGCATCCATCCATCTTCCCTATCTGACTCTCCCTCTCGGCCCCTCTCTGCTGCTATCGCCCTCCCCAACCCCCTCGCCGGCCCCGCCCAGGTGTCGGGACGACAGACTCTTCGGACTCTGGTCGTTCACAGTTCACCGGGTTAAGTTGGTTTCTTTGGGGAGGCGCTGTCAGCATCTTCGACGTGCGCCTGGCCATGGCGCTTGAGCAGCTTGCGGGAGACCTCCAGGACATTGGAAGAGATCCGGGAGCTCAGCAGCGGCAGGAAAGGCCTCGTCCAAACTGAAGGTTGCAAAGACTCCCAACCCCAACAGGACAGCAAGCGCCACTTGGAAGTTGGAACCCGTGCCCCTTCAAGATACTCTAGTGGACAAATCGCTCATATTCTGGCACAGATGTTGCCAGTTGCATAGGTTCATGTGGGTTTACTTTGGGATAGATCGATGGATGGATGGATGGATGGATGGATGGATGGATGGATGGATGGATGGATGGAGGAACATAGATAGATGAACATAGATAGATATATATATATATATATATGCGTGTGTGTGTCCTAGCTGGGGACTTGACATTTGGCCAGTGTCGACCTCCCTTGGACCACGTCCGGTACTCGCCGAGCGGCCGCAGCAAAAGACCCAGGGGCCCTGGCGCGGTCGAGCGGGGTCCGTGATCGTCCAAACACCAAAGATAGCAATCTTGATGGACATCTTGTGAGATCAAGGGACCAAGAGGTGGGAAAGTCTGAAAGTCTTGGACCTCTCGTTCACTGGTCTTGTGCTGTGGGCTGGAGAGAAGAGAAAAAAAAAGAGCCAACTTGGAGGTGTCAACCCCACCTTGGAAGACGTGCCGCGCTGGGGGCCGCCCTTGTTGGGGGAGCCCTCCGCCGATCTTCGCATCCACCCCCGGACGCCTGACGACTCGACCCGGACGGTGAGAGCGCAGTACCTGCTGTGAAACCCGCGCCGTGTTGCGTGGTGAAACGCGTCGCGAGGCCGAAGGCCGTTCGAGGCCAGGCGCCCAAAAGGGGTGAAGCTGAACAGGTCATTCGCCCTGCAAAGGGGGGAACACGATAAACCAGTTGTGTGTGTGGGGTGCATTGAAGATTCAGGCCAATACAGTTGTGTGGCGCACCGGGTACACCGGGCCGATGCTTATGGATCCGATCCACTGATCTCCGGTGAAATGGGCAATACACTCATGCTCACCTCACCGTTCATGATTTTCATGCATCTACGACTTATGATTCCCAATTTGCGATTGTCATGATTGGCCAATGCCACCCCACTGGTCTGCCAAAGCTTTCCATGATGGGTCTGTGGAGGAAGACCCTGTATTGGCGGGATAGGATTGTCCAAAGGCACGCTGCCTGTATTGGGATGGTACCGGTACATCTTACTCAGGTCCAAAACTACGAGATACACCTGTGCATTGTCACCGGGGGGGCGGCATCACAAGTTTTTTCATAGAGCTCTCTCTCTCTCTCTCTGCCTGCTTCTCCTGAGAGCGCAAGACTCTTTACATCTCTTTACCAAATATTGGTCTTTAGGTGACCCGACAAGGAGTGTCCTTTTACTGTGGTGGTACCGAGAGTCGTCTTTGGATTCAGTATATTGAAGGTTCCTCTTCTGTCCCCATGTTCCTGTGCCGGGCCCCAACGGCCAAGCGCGCTTTTTCACCGGGATCCGATGGGCATCGCGCGCGGGCGCCCGCACGCGATCGCATTACACCCCAGTCGGCTGCCGCGCTTTCGGAGCTGATCTGAGCTGCTTCACCAGGTTTTTTTTTGGGGGGGGGGACCTATATATAATATATATATATACTACAGTAACTATATATGCCATGGGTCTGCGAGAGCGGTTCTGTTTTCCTTGAGATATGGGTCCTGGGTGCGTGGTCCTCCATGTGTTCTCTGCCCCGTCTGGTTTCCCTGGTGTTGTTAAAAGTCACCTATCCACATGGAAGAGCTACGTCTCAACCCGAAGGTGTCACCAAACCTTGGGTCCTTCTACCGCGCCATGTCTCTGCCCGACTTGGGGTCCGTCTTCGACTCGAAGACGTGGCTGGGCCACCACAGTCCCGAATTGGCACTACTTGGGGGCATCCCCTCTATCAACCAACCTACTCTATTATTAATAAACATGATGTGTATATGCGGTATGTATTTACAGTATATCGTAGAAGCATGAAATAGCCTATCTATATATGTGTTGGGGCGTCCGATGATGCTGGAGATACATGCCCCTCTGGAAAGGGAACGTGCTGGAAATGAGGTGATTGTTTGTTTTATGTTGAATTCATCGGAGGGTGTGGCGGTTCCTGGATCAAGTGGGTGGTTTTTGGAGCTCAGCTGCTGCAGAACGACTGGACAATGAGGACCATCCAAACTGATCAAACCAAACTCTTGGTTCCAAAGACTGGTCCACATCGTGGTGTAAGAATCTTTGATGGTTTCTGGACGCGCCAAGAGTTCGGGGCTCTCTCTTCATCGTCCCTACGGTCGACATCGCGACCCCCGGTCCCTCTGACCGTTCGACACCGACATCGCAACGACGCCCGCAGAAAACCGCTGGGAAACGGTGAGCCTGGTCGGTGGGTGGAAGCTTGACGGGCAAGTGCTGGGGGGTTCTCCTTGGGAAGGGAAGCATATCTCCGAGAATCTTTGGCACCAACCCATCGCCAAATGCGTAGATCAAATGCGTATATAGATAGAGCTAGATTGCGCACAATGGCTCTGCTTGCTTGGCATGCTACACCACACGTCATTCTTTGATTATTGGGTGCTCAATGCCTCTTTTGCAAAGTCCTGGTTCAAACTACAAACAAACTCACCAGCGAAACGGAATGGGCACGCAAACATGACTGGTTGACCGTCTACAGTGAGTTCAGGGTAGACAGCATCATAAAGAACAACACACGAGGTGTTTGCACAAATCCCCAGCGACAATCTCGAAGCACAAGACATCCTAAGCAACTGAGCTTGGGAATGCTCCAGATTGGGCAGATCAAACCTTTCTATCCTTTAGAGCTTTGCTTTCAGCTGCCCTCCCCAGTTTCACCAATCCTCCCCTTTTCGCGGTGAGTACGGCTTTTCAACGCCTCGCCGCGCCGCACGGCCTGCGGCGCGCGGTGCGTCCCGAACCGCCGTTCACCCCTGCTCAGCTGGTTTGGAGCTCCGGCTTCGTCGGCTTCTTCAGCCTGGGCCAGGACTTGGTCTGGATCACCTGAGCGGACGGATCCACACGGAAGACGGAAGATGGAGCGGGGCAGTCTGCGTCTTCCATCGCGGGTGAAAGAGAACCTAGGCAAGTGCAAACTGCACCGGTTTGCCTAGGTGATTGACCACGCGATGCCTAGGCATGTGATTGAACACAGCTGCTACAGGAGATCAAACACGCTGCGTCCACTCATCCCTGCCTCATCGATGATGCCATACCTCGTTGAAGCGACGATCGGGACCGCGGAGATAATCGTCGGGCCCCCCGCTCACCACGGAAGCTGTCATATAGGCTATCTAGACACACCTAAACCATCATCCCATATATGACATGATATCTGGATTCCTGGATTCCGCCTATCTGGTTGGTGATTTCAACTCGCTTGAAACATCTTGACATATATGATCATATATGAGTCAGTCAGTTCAAACATCTAAAGATATATAGAACAAGTCAAGCCGAAAAAATCCACCACGACCACCACGCGATCTCTCTTGGCGCCACCCGATCTCCCCGCCAAGACGCTCGGACGCCTCCTCTGGCGTCATGTAGTAGTCACCTCAGCGCGTCGACTCACCGGGTGAGCTGCGAGTTGCGTGATGGACAGTCAAGTCCAGATGGATGCAGATGGCACGGGAACGTTTGCCCAGACACAGCGACAAAGATCATGGCGTGGAGTTATTTGTTCAGATCTTTTTGTAGAGAAATCCGAGTCAAGAAGCAAATCTGAGCCAGGAAATGAGCAAAGCCATGTCACACACACACCTTGTTCTTCAGCTGAACTAGATGGAGTCTTCAGCTGAAAATAGTCACCAGGAGTAACGCGTGCTGTGACGCATGGTGGGTAGCAAAGGCTATGGACGTACCATAGCATACGCAAAATGCAACGGGTGATGCAAGTCTATGTAAGTTCCACAAAAAAGCAGAAAACATGGTGGACGCTGCTGTAGCTGCATATAATTGCATGTAGAATGAACTTGTGACGCTTATGGAACTAGATTCTTCGGCTAAGGGCAGCACCCACCAGACCCCCCTTCTGCCTTTCAATGTTGCCCAAACTGAACCTATCATACACCTCCTGAGCACATTCTCCAAGAGATTCTTCTCTATGAAGCCTCTCCTGAGTCCAAAGCCCATATCGATCAACCCCAGTGTCAGATGCCTTGGGGGCTTCGACTGGTGGTAGATCAATCGTGTGGGTCAAAACCCCTGAAGCCCTGCGGTTCTGATGCAGGTCAATTCCCCGACCAAAATGCTTCCAGCACACCCCCCGCTCCTCAGGCTGCCGGGGAAGGAGGATCAAACCCACGGGCTGTCCCGTAGTTCCCCCCTTTCAACCTCCAAAATCACCCCCCCCCAATCCGAAAAAACCCTCCCTCCCACCTCCTCGTACAGGTCCTCCCTCCCTCCCTCCGGTGCCCGAACGTGACCGAGCCACGGTCACAGTCCTCGGCCACCTGCGCCAGCGGCTTCCCGGTGAAGTCACTGAGGTACCTCACCGGTCGCGGGTGAAGTCACTGAGCTCGGCTAAGAGATCATTGGGCGACCGGCGACTGTGGAACTAACATGGTTACGTGGACAACCACCTGTTTGTCGTGGAGTTCATGGTCTTCCTTACGGGGCCATGACATCCACGTAACCATGTTAGTTCCAGGGAGGGAAAAGGGAAAAGGGTGGTGATTGGATGGTATGGTGGGCCATTTAGTCCTACATCCTTTTGTGGTCCCAATGTAAATCGATTCAGGACCGTGTCAGAGACATGCTGAACGGTGATTCAGGACCCGCTGGGCGTTGTAAAAGCAGGTTACTAACGACTTGTAAGGAGTCGGCGGGAATCTAGTCTTCAAACTCTGAGACATGTTATGCCATGAAGGCCCTGGTAACTCTTCCCTACAGGTCATTCAAAGACCGGGTTTTATTGGATCCTTGGACTTGTATCCCTTTGTGTCGTTTACTCACTCCCAATCCCACCCACAGCCACGCTGGCCACCACCGACCGTCAAGAGACGTGTTGAGGATATCCCGCAGGAAGAGGATCTCTTTGGCCTAGGAGAAGGAGAGGAGAAAAGGAAAAAAAAAACACAGCAAACCGCACCCGTCGGGTGACGGACTGCATTTTTCCGTCAAAGGTTCTTCACATATGAGTTCAGCTGATGATTGGATGGACATCGCGGGAAAAAGCAATGCTGGAGTCAAGCCATGCTACACTACACCCAGCGCCACCTCATGTCGGGTGGCTCCTTTAAAGGAAAAGACATCGTCAGGTGTGTCTCCATGATTTGTTTGTTGCTGCATTCAGTTCACATCTCGGGGATACCAAGAGAGGTTGAGTGACCAGTTCCGACCGTACTGGGGTACCTATGGGATAGGCCAAAAAGGGTCCTTCAACCTCTGTTGGTAGTTCCAACCAGTTCCAAGAAGTTCCAAGTCTAAAGTCCCAGAACTCCCCACCCCGCGAAAACCCGCGAAAACCAACACCGCGCCACTTCCGATGCGCGAACCGTTCGCGATTCGGACGCTACGAACGGGCGGCCCCCTGGTGCCGATCTCCACCCGCCTGGATCTCGATATCCGCCGCCTGGCCACCCGCGCCGCCCAGGGGCTGATGGATCCTCAGCGGCCCGGGTTTTGAAGCGAGCGGAGTGGAAGATCGAGCGGAGCCCATTGGCCACAAAGCTCCGTTCGGGTCCATCCTTGTTCGTAGCGATGCCCGGCATGCTCCTAGTCGCG